GTCTTTGTCTTTGTCTTTGTCTTTGTTTACATCTTTGTCTTTGTCTTTGTCTTTGTTTATATCTTTGTCTTTGTCTTTGTCTTTGTCTTTGTCTTTGTCTTTGTCTTTGTCTTTGTCTTTGTCTTTGTCTTTGTCTTTGTCTTTGTCTTTGTCTTTGTCTTTGTCTTTGTCTTTGTCTTTGTCTTTGTCTTTGTCTTTGTCTTTGTCTTTGTCTTTTCCTTCCTTCTCAATGGCTTGTCTGATGGTTGCAACCTTTTCAGCGAAGAAATCTTTGAAATCTTCTGACAGTTTCACAGGATCCTTGTAGTTTGGAAGGTTTTGGGTGTCATTTCCTAAAAGCCTGTTGACTTTTTTGTACAACGCTTTAGTATCCCCTGAAGAGGACCTAAGAGAGGTTTTGTGGTGAGCGCATCTTTTGACAAACTCTAGTCGGGAAAACTCATCTCTTAGCTTAACATAATCCGATCTCAGGTACTCAGATCTTGTACTGTCTATATAGTCTACTTTATCTTTTCTCCACGCACGTTCAGCAGTTCTTCTCTTTCGCCTGAGAATACGAATCGACGTTTCAGCCATAATGTTGGGCGGACTGACGTTTCCGAGTGGTTAATGTTTCATCTCTCATACTATAAGGCATCATCTGGCTACATTTTGATGGGTCGATGTGGTATTCAGATCCATCTTCGAGATCGTTTTTTTCATTTGTAGCAAGATAAAGTCCTTGCTATATTTTCCATACGATACTGTTTAATTCGTGACTTTGAACGAAGTTCCAGGAAATGAACAATTATATATAGCCATAATCCATATTATGACAAGACGACATTTATCCTGGAATTTGACCACATAATTGTCCAGAACAGAAGTTTGCAGCTACAGTATATAAAAGTATAAAGAATTGTTGACGCTCAATGTTCATTAGCTGTTAGCCGCTCTTTTTAAGTAACATAGTTTCTACACAGGCCAGCCAGCTATATTAATATAGAAACTTGTACTCCGAACAGAAACTACATTACTCCTGATAGGTGGTGTGTCGAGGAACTCGACTTATGGATAATACCACATGCTCAGTTGATCGGTACCGGCACGAGCGTGCAGTCACGTGACACTCCGCGTTTTGTCACGTGACGCGCGCACTAAGTCACGTGGTACATTCTCCATGTGTGATTGGAAACGCGTGCTGCACGTGGGTTTCAGACAGGTTTTTATTGGATATTGGTAGGGATAGAGACGTTATGTGATTAGAGGGAGCGTGCAGGGAGTACAATATCCGTAACCTGGCCCACACTTCCTGGATCGGGTCCCGCCGAGTGAACCAGGGATCCCGCCGAGTGAACCTCCATAGTGTCATACCCAACCTGGGAACAACTTGATTACTTGCGAAAGACGTAGAGTGCATTTTTAGAGTTCCGATGTTAATTTTACTATTGGAAATAACTAAATCCGTTGGGATCAACCAATTTTCTTATAATTATTACCAAGGACCGTGTAACTGGCCATCAGTACTACTTACTTACTACTTGTTTGTTAGTGTACCAATTTTGTTACCGATAAAAATCAATTCAATTATCATCGGACCACTGATAATCGGTTCTTCGGTCAAAGTTCAAGTTCCTAGTGTCTCGAGCAAAAATACCGTTATGTCTTTACCGTAAAGTGTAAAACCAAGTAATTTTACCTCTTCCCCTCCCTGAATACAGGATGTTTCATGAATAGTGTCCGGTTTTTGATTTATTGTCAAATTTAGTACAAATGAAATAACTTTTCAAATTTTGGTTATAAATGTAACAAATATATCAGAAAATCATAAAACATAATAATATGTGACTCAAAGTCAATAATTTATTATCTGCTCAAAGAATCGTCCTTTATTGGAGAGCACATGTTGAGGCAATTGTCTACAGCAGACTGCACCGTGCTCAACAGTATTCTCCTTGCCTCTCCTGATATTATGCTTAAAGTTCTGCGATTTTCTTAGGGACTGGATTACTGCAGTAGACCTTACTCTCGAGATATCCCGGCCCAGAGGTAGAAGTCGCAGCGGTTTAGGTCGGGGAGTATGGGGGCCAAGCAAAGTCTGCGTTTCGGATATGATCTTTTCCTTGAAAAGATCAAGCGCGCGCTTTCTCTTAAAGTCTTAAGAGCTGGCACAAACTTTTTCTTTAACATTTCGATGTAATTGGATGTTCTGATATAGTGTCTGTTTTCCCGGTCTCGCCATTCTCTTTATTTGCATGGACATTAATTGGACGCTGGAGAGTGGAGGCCCTAGCGTTCATTTTAATGTCCGTTCAAACAAAGTTTGGTGAAGTTGTTAAATTAAATACTGATCATGAATGCCTTTGAGCGTTCAATTGAGTGTCCGTTAAAAATTATGTTTGTTCACACAATGTCCGGTCAAATAAGTATAGCGTCCAATAAGGTAATACAAACTTCAACAAGTTTATTGGAGACTACTGCACAAGATACAGTTCACAAAAATGCTGCTAAAGCCTAAACGGTATGGGATAACGTCCCTAACGGTCTAACGGCATGCGATAACGTCCCTTAAATAAAGTTAAGATAACGTCCCTAACCGGGCCTAACGTCCTCTAAAAAGCGTTAAGATAAAGTCCCTAACGTCCCTTAAACAGAGTTAAAATAATGTCCCTAACGTCCCTTAAATGGAGTTAAAATAACGTCCCTAACGTCTCGTCCCTAACGTCCCGTCCCTAACGTCCCGTCCCTAACGTCCCGTCCCTAACGTCCCGTCCCTAACGTCCCGTCCCTAACGTCCCGTCCGTAACGTCCCGTCCCTAACGTCCCTTAAATATAGTTAAGATAACGTCCCTAACAACCCCTAAATATAGTTAAGAGGGCAGATTACTGTTAGCTAAATGGGAAAGTGCAGTTTGTAGGATCACCAGGTCAGATTATCAGGGTCGTTAACTATGATAATGAACCATCACAGCCATGTAATGAACCATCACAGCCATGTAATGGGGTGTAATGAACCATCAAATCTCTGTAATGAACCATCAAATCTCTGTAATGAGCTCTAATGAACAACAAGGCTGAGTTTGCCGCTGCTTTTTCTTATTTGGTTCTGTCATGATTTTGTGTATCTTCTAGTTTTACTGTCTGTTGGCTCTGCAATTCTTAAACTTTTGAAGATAAACCCGATTTGGTATTGTTAAAATTGTAACCCCTTTAACCTGCTGTATAACGTGTCATAACACTAAGAACTCTGTGTTTAACAGCTTAACAGGAAGTGTATTTTGTAAACTGACAGATTCTCTGCATACAGGTAACAAAACAAGCTGCAGAGAATCAGGAGATACCACGTGATCTTTATAGTAACCTAGCAACAGAGAATCAGGAGATACCACGTGATCTTTATAGTAACCTAGCAACAGTGAATCAGGAGATACCACGTGTCATGAACTCACAACACCAACTAGCTTTGTAATATTACCAAGCTATTGAATATCTGGAGAAATCCAAGCTGGGGAAATCAGGGGTAAAACTTTGACAACATTAGCTGTCAAATAATGCAGATTTCAGAGTTTCCGTAAACACTTTCCACGCTCCCTAGGGTAAACACTGAACCCGGTTACTAAGATGGCGCCCCCCCCCCTCCCTCGTTTATCAACGATAAAACCCCGAATAGGGCTCAACTACTACTACTTCTACTACTATGTCGGAGCTAAGTCCGATCTACGCCAGAAAACCCCCTCCATATATCCCTGTCCCGCATCAGGGTTCGCAGTTCCTCTTTAGAGTTTGTCCCAACTTCCTTCAGTAACATAGACAAGTAGCTTTGTCTTGGTCGGCCTTGCTGTGCTCTACCGTGCGTAGGTTCCCATAAGACTAAATCACTGGCAAGTAGCTCAGGATGTCGGATGCAGTGTCCCGCCATTTTTTTTTTGCTCAACATAATGTAAAATTGTAAAAGATGTAAACATCTTTTTACATTGCGTTGAGCCCTATATGGGGAAAGGAAAAGGTAAAAGGGGCGCAGTAAACTAGGCTAGGGTTTAACTGTAACCATGATATTGTGGACAGTAAAGGGTTCGAAGACTAATAATTATCATTATGGAGGGTAAAGTAAAGTAGTAACTAGTTGGTGGGGGGAGGGGGGAGCTACGAGAGGGAGGGTTAACCCCGGCTACGAGGGGGGGTTACCCCGGCTACGAGACTGAAATGGTGAACTAGTACTAGCTCCGTTTCTACTCTAACATGGTATCATGAACCACTTGAACCAGCTCACCTCCTTTTCCTTTATCAGTGATGATTATAGCCTACAACTCTACAATTAAAGTAGTAGTTCTAGTCGTTAAGATTTAAGAAGTTCTAGTTGTTAACAAGCTATGGTACTGACTGCTGGCACGAGCTGGACAGTTAATTAAGGGACATGTGATTAAGGAAGGTGCGTGTTGACTTTAGTTACCACGTGATGCCATGGTAACACGGGTAGAGACAATAGTGTTCAGCGCGTGCCTATTGACTTATTGAAACTTGAGTCGGAGATTTGTTGAAAAGTTGAAACATACCCTGAGAATGCTTTGCAGACTAGTTACATGAATTTCCCAGGATTAATATCTCCTCCCTGTACTGTAGTGTATTTTGCAAGGAACGCCTTGTGTTGTGGGGCGGGAGACTCTCTCTCCGGACTGTCAGATGATTTCCCCACTGGTCCTGACAGCCCCTCCTTCCCCCACCAACCAGACGCTCACCACCGGGTCACGTGATGTGACAGTGGCCAATACTTTAGGAGTGCCTGATCCGAGCATGCCCTGTTGCTTAGCGAACCCAGCCTCCTGAAACTTTACTCGCAGCCCACCCACCAATAAGAGAACGTCTGCAGGTCACGTGACTGGAACCCGACCAATCAGCTGGCTGGAGCCACACCACGTGATCAGAGCGTTTGAAGTTTGCGAGTGTTTCCTGTTAGGTCACGTGCGCGCGCCGGGGTCACGTGACACGGCACGTTTAAGGATCGCACGGACACGACCTGCGCCACCAGAACCTCAAGCACCGAATTTGTTGCGAACTGTATTTGTTTTGATTATCTGACAACATGTCTCTCTACGGACACGATGCCCCTGCCCTCTATAACACGGGTTACTCTCGGAACACCCCCTTCTCTATTGACAACCTCCTCGTTCAGAAGGGAGAGTACCCCTTCAAGAGTGAGTCCCTGTTGTCCTCTGTAGCCCCTGGTTTCAACTACGTTCCCATGCCTCACTATAACCCTCTTAACGCTGCCTACTCTGGAGGTGAGTTTCTTCTTTTTCTTTTAGTCTTGTTTTTACTTTCTTGTTTTTACTGCTTATCTTACATATCGTTGATTATGAGATTAGGGTAGCAATTAATGTCATGGTTTTTACTTGATGACGTTAGCGAAATGGTCATATTGGACGCTTACTACAGTTGCTAGGTTACAGTTGCTAGGTTAAAGTTGCTAGGTTAGAGTTGCTAGGTTACACTGACAGTTGCTAGGTTACACTGTTACAGTTGCTAGGTTACACTGCGGAAATCTCCGTAACAGTTGTCAGAGCTACTACATCAAGTTCCGACTACATATCATGTGCAACAGTTCTGTTGTCTTTCTACCATTTCTTTTAGCTATAACTTTGGAAAAGTAGATTGGACCACCTTTTCTTGAAGAGTTCATGAATCTTTTTAATGTAAATTTTAAATCATCACCCTAGGGCCCTGGGCAGTGGCGTAACGTTGCCTGTTGGCGCCCCCTGCCGAAAAGGCGCCCCCCTGTTGGCGCCCCTTCTCCTTTTGGTGCCCCTCCCTAAAATTGAACAAATTAGGCGATTTAAGAGGATACGCCGGTAAAATCTCTAAAAAAGTGTGTATCTAGAGCAAAACGCGCAGTTTTGCTAGTACTTTAGTTAAGTTTTCGAAATTGTCCCACATTCAAACGACGATTTGGCGCCCCCCTAAGACGGCGCCCCCCTGCACAGCGGGGTCAGCAGGGCCCTTCGTTACGCCACTGGCCCTGGGTCTAGTAGCAGTGTAACAACCTGTACTATTAAAGTATTAAAGTAACCATTTTGATCACCGTTATAACTTGCTTATTTGAATATTCTGTGTCCTCAAATAAACAAACCTTTGGTAACATAAGTGACTTGTTCTGGTTTGAGTATTCGGTGTGGGACTTTTTCAGTGTCGACTGTAACCTAGCAACGGTAACCTAGCAACGGTAACCTAGCAACTGTTTGTTAGAGCGTTAAAGCTATAAGTCGTCCTCTTGGGGATGGCATGTGACAACCTTGTTTCACTCCCTCTCCCCCCCCCCCCCCTCTCCCCCCTCTCCCCCCTCTCCCCCCTCTCCCCCCTCTCCCCCCCCTCTATCTATTCTCTCTCCTCTCTCCCCTCTCTCCACCCTCTCCCCCCCCCAGGGCCCAGCCCCACCCCAACCCCCACCCCCCCCCTCTCTCTCTCATCTCTCTCCTCTCTCTCCTCTCTCTCCTCTCTCTCCACTCTCTCCTCTCTGCTATGAGTAAGATAAATGCAATTGATGCAGTGAAAATTGAAGCAAACAGTTTTTGATCTCCTCGGTAATAATTTCGCCTCTTGTGCCGACTTTAAGTCTTAATCAACCTCTTCGTCTGTTTCTTTCTCTGAAGCTAATCATCATACCCTATAACACGCAGCCTTAGCTGCTAAGTTCTTTGTTTTATTGGCTCTAAATTTTTTCCATGTACGAAATTACCTTCAGGTAAAGATTTTAGAGGGTTAGAGCTCATCCAACATATTTTATTATTAGAACTTTAGAATATCAACCATTTCCACGAATAAGTAACTCCTCCAAACTAATTTGTACATTATTCTACCATAGTCTTATCTCACTGGCACTATTTCTTCAGCTAATAAGAGTTTATTAGAAAAACCTCTCCTAAACATGATCCATAGTTCCACCAATAGACCAGTAAACACATCATTATCGCTTGTAATGTGAGGTCTACTATTGCTATCGTTACTGAGGTCTACTCTGCTGGTTTTACTCCTTGAGCGCTTATCGCATTAGCCGCTTCCTGAAACGCTGCTATTGGCTGGAGATAGCGCTAGAGTCACGTGACACCATGGCAACACATGTTGCTATAGCCACGTGGTTTGTCACATGACCACTAGATAGTGTACAAGGCTCGTTCTATTAATAACAATAAGTCGCTACATTACATTTCTTACCTGAGTATTCAGATTAGAATAAATAGTTCATGTATCTCCAGCAATCTTCTCGAGTAATCATTGGATAGAGGGAGGATTATAGTTTTAGAGTCACAACAACGCAGTAAGCTAAACATTATGATTGTGTGTTATTATTAACTTATTAAGGAGTTGTGTATGAGGGTTAATGTTTTAACTGGTCCATAATATTATTCTAACAGTCACATTACCATCGAAATTAATCACCAATATTGACCAATAATGACCAATAATGACTACTTCACTTATACAATTACAGTACGATGGTTGTTAATTGATCTTAACAAAATGAAATGAACCCTGCGTGAGATCGTTATAAGAATAAGTAGGACATTAGAATAATGACGATTATTAATTACTTGATATATTGTAATTTTCGTTCGCCAGTTCAATTCATTCAACTACTTAACTACTTATCGCCTCAATACAGTTGCTAAGGTTACAGTTGCTAAGGTAATGAATTGGACACTGGACAGTTCTCAATACACTTGACACCTCGCGAAACAGACTCAACTACTTTCCTGAAACCTGTCATGTCCAACATCACGTGATACCACGTGACTGTGTTACCAGTTACCACGGTGACACAGTCAATCACGTGGTTCCATGGTAACACACTCCTTTGATGGAGTGTACAGCATTTCCGCAACTATGTCAAAATACCTCACCAAAACCAATACCGCGGTGATTTTAAACGAATCTGAAGAATACACGAATTTAACTCTTTAAATCTAAATTCTATAAAATATTTCAGGACCTTCAAGACCTCTGAGTAAAGGAGAACCCTCAACCCATCCTTACTATCCTCGTAAGTATTATTGTTATTTATAACGCTTGTCGTCATGGTACTTGTCGTCATGGTAACGCTTGTCGTCATGGTACCATAAAAAGGGCTTCATTGAATTATTATTTTTAATTAAAACAGTTAAGCGATTTACCAACTACTTTCTATACAAGCTAAATTTAGGAGATATTAAATCAGATGAAAAGCTGCACGGTTTAAAGCACGACCACCACGCAATGTGGCAAAACTTTCTCAACGGAACTACAGAACTAAATCTAGCGGCCAGTGCACCTCAAGGTCAGTTGCAGCGTTGCTTGGTTACCTAGTTGCTAGGTTACAATTGCTAGGTTACAATTGCTAGGTTACAGTTGCTAGGTTACAAGTGCTAGGTTACAGTTGCTAGGTTACAGCTTCTAGGTTACAATTGCTAGGTTACACTGTTACAGTTGCAATTTTTTGGTAATAACGTCATCAGCTGCTCATTTATAACTTTTGCAAAATTATCATTTCTTCAGTCCATAACTGGCAATTGAAATTATACTGGTAACCATAGTAACTATAGTAATGTAATTGGTATTGCTATCTTGTCGCAACGCTGCAACTTTCCTAAAAAAAGCTAAAATTGCGCCTTTTTGTAAGGCTAGAAGGCTAGAATTATGATCTGCCTCAAATAACTTTCACGATTGTCTTGGTCAGACATTGAGTAATAAGTTCATGTTTTGATACGGATAGTTATTACATACAAATATATCGTCATAAAATTAACAAAACGTTTACCTGAACATCTGAAGAATTCTCACAGTAGTAAAATGCGACATTAATTATACTAATTATTAGAAAATGCGACATTAATTATACTAATTATTATAATCATTAACAATGAGACGTATGGTAATCGGTTTACAAACCACCGCATTCCTTGGTTACCTTTACTAAGTTTCTCACTCATTCCTTGCACACAAAACATATTTTATATTTCCTCTCCGCTAATTGTAAAACGCAGGTTATAGTTATGACTAAACAACTTAATAAGAATAGTACAAAATTCGATTAGTTTGAATTCTTCAGATTCAGGAGGCCACAGCCCTATGATATTTAATAATTTATATTCTTCAGATTCAGAAGGCCACAGCCCGATGACATTTAATAATTTGAATTCTTCAGATTCAGAAGGCCACAGCCCTATAATATTTAATAATTTGAATTCTTCAGATTCAGAAGGCCACAGCCCTATAATATTTAATAATTTGAATTCTTCAGATTCAGAAGGCCACAGCCCGATGATATTTAATAATTTGAATTCTTCAGATTCAGAAGGCCACAGCCCGATGATATTTGCTCCGCCATTCCGAACAGATCTGTCTGGACGACCCTTGAGGAGGAGAAAAGCTAGGACTGTGTTCAGTGACGATCAGTTGCAGGGACTCGAGAGAAAATTTAAGGTAATTTAAGAGTCCATCAAGCCTCAAGAATCTACCTATCATTATTTATTACTATTTAGCTTCTATTTTCACTACTGGGTAATACTTTAACCTGGTCTTTATTCAGATACAGAAGTACCTGTCAGTGCCTGAGAGAATGGAGCTAGCAGGAATGTTGAATCTCTCAGAAACCCAAGTTAAAACCTGGTTCCAGAACAGACGAATGAAGTGGAAGAAACAAGGACTAGGAACCATCAGCAGTACTAGCTCTCACATGAATAGCAGCAAGGTAAGTTGCTAGGTTACAGTTGCTAGGTTACAGTTGCTAGGTTACAGTTGCAGCTAGGTTACAGTTGCTAGGTTACAGTTGCAGCTAGGTTACAGTTCTAACGTGCTATTATTTCAGGTATCCCCCGGTCTCTCCAGCTCAGCAGATACAATAGACCTGAAACCAATGATTCATACGGGATCTCTGGGCGGTATCGGGAAGGTTAACTTTGCAACGGAGATCAAACTACCAGAGGGACTTACACATCTCACTTCTCTGGGACATGGAGAGAGTGTAGGAGAGCTCAAAGTGGACCGCTGAACAGTGTCAGATGATGACGTCACACTGATGACGTCACGTTACTGTGATGACGTCACCTGTTTCTTTGTTTAAAGATGGCGCGTTGTAATGATGACGTCACGTGTTCTTTGTTTAAAGATGGCGCGTTGTAATGATGACGTCACGTTTTGATTTTGTGAAGGCAGCGCGTTACTGTGGGACTACCTCATAAGAAGTATTTAGATTGTAGCCACTGTTCAAAATGACTGCATCAGCTCGGTTACAGTTGTTAGGTTACAGTTGCTAGGTTACAGTTGCTAGGTACAGAATTGATTATATTTGGTGATAATGAATTAACTGCACTTTAAACTGCTGTTTTCAGAAATATTCAAATATTCTCGCTTTTCAACCGAAAAACCAAATATATATGTGAGTATGTGGATAACTAACTGCATTTAAAATTGTACCCTATTATATTCTCGAACTTTCTTTGAAGTTTGGTTCCTTTTATTTGATTCTTGTAGCCTTTATATAGAGACTGTGAGTGATCTACGATTTTTTATTTTATTTGTTGTTTGTACATAGTATAACTTATTTTTAGCCAATTTATCTCATAAATAGCCGTTTTATTTTTATAAAATTCGCAGCAAATCAAGGTTTCAAATCTTATTAAAGACATTTTATTGAAACTTACGGGATTTTGAAATACTGATAGTTTGATGATATCCGGTAGAAATGACCACAATGCGGTCATTTATGCATGAATTATGTTCATATTTGAATATATCGGATCGTTTCAACATCTCACTAAGGATTATTTCAACTTCTCACTAGAAATTGTTTCAACATCTCACTAGAGATTTTTTCAACATACACTAGAGATTGTTTCAACATATTACTATATATAAAGCGAGACGATATATATATATATATATTTATCCGTGCCATTTTACTGACACCACGGCATCAACTTTAACGCAAATTTTCGCAAAAACCGTAGAAGATATACAACTGAAACTTTATTGACTGGGTCAAATGATTTAATGGCCTCCAAATCTGCATAAAAAATAAAAAATTGGCCAAGAAATAGGAGTTTTAGAGTCTTGACACCATTTTAGGGTTATACGGGTTCCTGCTAGTATCACTAAAGAGTAGAGATTGTTTGAACATCATACTAAGATGTAAAGTTTGTTTGCGTCACACTTAAGAGTATAGATTGTTTCAACATCTCTTTAGTGAGATGTTGAAGCAATCTCTACTCTTTAGTGAGATGTTGAAACAATCTCTACTCTCTAGTGTGATGTTGAAACAATCTCTACTCTCTAGTGTGATGTTGAAACAATCTTTACTCTCTAGTGAGATGTTGAAGCAATCTTTACTCTTAAGTGAGATGTTGAAACAATCTCTACTCTTTAGTGAGATGTTGAAACAATATCTACTCTTTAGTGAGATGTTGAAACAATCTTTACTCTCTAGTGAGATGTAATTGAAACAATATCTACTCTTTACTCTTTAGTGAGATGTTGAAACAATCTCGACTCACTAAAGAGTAGAGATTGCTTCAACATCTCACTAGAGAGTAAAGATTGTTTCAACATCACACTAGAGAGTAGAGATTGTTTCAACATCACACTAGAGAGTAGAGATTGTTTCAACATCTCACTAAAGAGTAGAGATTGCTTCAACATCTCACTAGAGAGTAAAGATTGTTTCAACATCACACTAGAGAGTAGAGATTGTTTCAACATCTCACTAGAGAGTAAAGATTGTTTCAACATCACACTAGAGAGTAGAGATTGTTTCAACATCACACTTAAGAGTAGAGATTGTTTCAACATCACACTAAAGAGTAGAAATTGTTTCAACATCTCACTAGAGAGTAAAGATTGTTTCAACATCACACTAGAGAGTAGAGATTGTTTCAACATCACACTAGAGAGTAGAGATTGTTTCAACATCTCACTAAAGAGTAGAGATTGCTTCAACATCACACTAGAGAGTAAAGATTGTTTCAACATCACACTAAAGAGTAGAGATTGTTTCAACATCACACTAGAGAGTAGAGATTGTTTCAACATCTCACTTAAAGAGTAGAGATTGCTTCAACATCTCACTAGAGAGTAAAGATTGTTTCAACATCACACTTAAGAGTAGAGATTGTTTCAACATCACACTAGAGAGTAGAAATTGTTTCAACATCACATCATGTTCAGCATGTTTTAAAGCGCTGGACGTCTCATTAACTTCTGTCTGATGGTAGCTTGGTCTCTATAATGAATTAACCCTCATCACCCTGCCCCCTCTTACCCTCTTATTGGCTCATTAAATTGATTTTCAAAACATTGTGATTGCATTGGAGCAGACACGTGGGGGAGTCACGTGGTTAACAAGCTGTCACGTGACGACGCACGTGGGTGTGACACGTGCTCTTAGTCGAGTAATCATCGCCTCACGTGCGTGAGTAGCCATTTAATGGGTTCATTAATAAAAGCTTTGAAAACGTGTTGTTTGTATTAAAAATACGGTGGTGATACCACGTGCACAAGAGTGCAATCCATTAAAACGCACCCCATGTAACCAAGTCAGCACGTGCTAAAATATACGCTAGATTTTGCACGGTTTACTGCTCTTCATTGATCTAATATTTTTCAAGTTTTTAGTAAACTCCCCGCAGTTGCTAGGTTACAGTTGCTAGGTTACAGTTGCTAGGTTACAGTTGCTAGGTTACAGTTGCGAGTGTCACTACTGTTCGAGCTGTTTCTTCTAATTGTCTCTAATTAGTGGTTTCTGTAGGGTAGTTTTCCGAATTCTCAGATCGTTTACCTCTGATTAAATGATTCGCAACAATTTAGTATCCCCGAGAGATCATTAAAACCGGGCCGAAAACAATTTATTTCAAAATGAGGCCACGATCAAAGATTGCTAGATTACAGTTGCTAGGTTACAGTTGCTAGATTAGGGGCCGTAGTTAACCTCGGGTGAGTTCAGATGACATAAAAACTTGACCTTGTTTATATAGTTTTTACAGTTTATATAGTGTTTACAGTTTATAAGTTTATATAGTGTTTACAGTTTATATAGTGTTTACAGTTTATATAGCGTTTACAGTTTATATAGTGTTTACAATTTATATAGTGTTTATAGTTTATATAGTGTTTATAGTTTTTATAGTGTTTACAATTTATATAGTGTTTATAGTTTATATAGTGTTTATAGTTTTTATAGTGTTTATAGTTTATATAGTGTTTACAGTTTATATAGTGTTTACAGTTTATAAATATAAAGTTTGCAGATGAGACTAGACGGTTCGGTTCCTATCTATTAGTAGTAGTTTATTTGGGACTGGTCTGAGGTTTCTACTCAGACGGAGCATGGTAGTCATGGTTACGCATGGGTTTGCTAACCAACAATAACCTCCTGAACATGATATAGAAACATATTATTAATAATCCTGCATATTACTGTCACTTATTTCTCATACTGTTAGATACGCATGTTGTCATGCTAACGCATGTTGTCATGGTAACGCATGTTGTCATGGTAACGCATGCGCTTTCCTTCAATTTCCCTGTCATTTAACTGACAGTGTTATTGGTTGCTACATGTTGGGAGGTGGTTGCTATGGTAATTTAAGTGACAGCTCTATTGGCGGTTGCCTAGACAAACCATAGCAATAATTATCTCGATAAAGGAGCAATGACGAGAGACACCTCGCTAGCTCGATGGCTGGAAATGTCTCTAAAAAATGCTGCCCTCATAAACGAGACAGACATTTCATTTGATCAGTCTTACCAAAGTTTTAGGTAATTTATCATTACTCTGAGGTAATCTACCATTACTCTGTCTTTGTATTGGCTGGTGGATCTCACTTTGCTGGAATATTCAAGTTTGATTGGCCTCCCTTCAGTCTACACTTTTTATTTTGTTATTTTTATTGGTTTTTATGAAGATCCTTGCTGCTAAAAATTACGTTTAATTTGTGGAAATTAAAATTTTTGTGCCGTAAAAACGTCCAGATTTGTAACATTAGCGAAACCAAGGCCCGTCGGTGATTACAGTTGAGAACAACAGTAAATCTTTAGGTTTGCAGAAGTTTAGTTTGCAGATCTAGTTTGTCTAGACATTACTTTCAAATTTTATTGCACTCTTATTAGAATTATTTTATTGGCGACCATGCCTAGTGTAGACTTAAAGGAGTTTATGTTATAGTGAGATGATCTTTTAACTTAACTGGTCTATGTCTTAGTGTTGATCATGGTTTGAATTTGTTTACTTGGAAGTTGCAACGTTACAATCTTATTTGACATTCGTTTTTCCTATCGTAGACTCTATCGCTAATTGATCAACTTGGTTGCTGACGTTCAGTTTCAGGTTACCGATCAATATTTCCTCGAGCATATGGAACCTGAAATAGCTACTATTAGCATTATCCTCGAGCATATGGAACCTGAAATAGCTGCGATTAGCATTATCCTCGAGCATATGGAACCTGAAATAGCTACTATTAGCATTATCCTCGAGCATTTGGAACCTGAAATAGCTGCTATTAGCATTATCCTCGAGCATATGGAACCTGAAATAGCTGCTATTAGCATTATCCTCGAGCATATGGAACCTGAAATAGCTGCTATTAGCATTATCCTCGAGCATATGGAACCTGAAATAGCTGCTATTAGCATTATCCTCGAGCATATGGAAGCTGAAATAGCTACTATTAGCATTATCGAGACAAATTCAATTATCATGAGCAACCAGATTTTGTCGAAGTCACTGATATGTTTTTTTGATTATTATGCTATAACTAAAGATATATTGCGCGACTTACATTAGAACTATAAAAGTATAAAGCAATATACTAACTATAATACTATAAGCAATGATCGCTACAGCCCATCCATTCTCGATAACCAATATTCTGGAGGGTGACTCTCTTTCTAGCAGCGTGGAGAAATTGTCTCCACTCAACGTAGATACATCTGTAAGAAAAGGTAATTATTCAAGTTATTTACATAACTTTATATAATAGAAATATAACAAGACAAAGTAATTATTCAAGTTATTTACATAACTTTATATAATAGAAATATAACAAGAAAAGATAATTATTCAAGTTATTTACATAACTTTATATAATAGAAATATAACAAGACAAAATAATTATTCAAGTTATTTACATAACTTTATATAATAGAAATATACCAAGGAAAAGTAATTATTCAAGTTATTTACATAACTTTATATAATAGAAATATAATAAGAAAAGGTAAATATTTAAATTATTACATAACTTTATATAATAGAAATATAATAAGAAAAGGTATTTATTCAAATTATTTACTTTTTCAGTTTCGTGATTCTAATCTCTGTTCATGTTTGGTGTTACGTTTTTATCATAATTCATGCCGTAACACTCGCCTGCGAACAACTGAAATATTTCCGCTTAATCGATTAAACAATATTCATATCATGTTTATAAGTAATATTATCAATATTATTAATTATAGGTATATCACTAACTGGACCTCTGTTGCCAATAGCTACTTACGCAGAGCCCTCTCTTAGCAACCGCCTCACCTCGCTTAGCAAAACTACAAGATCACTTAGCAACATGATGG